ATAAAGATATGACTTTATTAATATTAATATTGTGGACTGCAGTCTTTAATATTTGTATTTAATATACATTTTTTCATAATTTTTTTTTTATTTTCACTCTTTAAATTCATTTGCCTGCGGGCGCCAACGCCCTTCCCATTTTTATTTTTAAATATAAATTCTATCATATTTTTTTAAAATTTTTTTTATATGATTCTTAAAATCTATTTGCCCGCGGGCGCCCAAGAACCCCTTCAAATTTTTTTTCTATAATTTAACTCTATTTAAATTTTTTAAAAACATTTTTTAAATTTCATTGTTTCATGATCTAGTTATTGAAAATAAAGCTATGAGTTTAGGAATACTGATATTGTGGACTGCAGCCTTTAATAATTTATAATATAATATGTTGTTAACAGTTTTCGAGTTTTTGAATTCTTTGGATGACACGATACATTTTTTTTTTCAGATTCCGAAACATAATATTATTCGGAGTGTTTAAATCTATACAATTCAGAACACGAAACTCTGCGTATAGGCCATTTAGATAAACTACTGTCGCGAGTCTATTTTTTTGTCCGGCATCTCACTGCATTGTTTTTAGTCTTAACGGTTTAACTATAACTTAATATAAAACTCTAGAAGTGTCGAGACATGAAAAAAATTCAAATATAGGTTTTGAAATTTACAGAACTAATAAAAAAATGGATACTTTAATCGTGAATATAATATTATCTCTAGGCTCGGTATTAATATGTTGTCAAACAATATTATTCTATAATAGTGTGCAGTATTTGCTAAAAAATTGTGTGACTATATTATACTATTACACTATATAGTGTAATAAATAATGTAATGTATACACAGCCGTGTAGGTACGGCTCTCACATAAAGGTAAGTGACGGGGGAAAAACCTTATGACCAAGGTTCGGGACTTATAGCATTTGCATACTTTTTTTATTTATTGTAAAATGTAGTAGAGTGCGAAATAAATTCATACCAAATCTAAAATTTGAATGTGCATATTTTGCATAGTTCATACATTTTGCCGGAAACCGCTTATTTTTACGTTATTGTGCTTAATTTGCATATTTTGGAAAATGTTTCGAAATTTCAACTTCACAAATTTCACCCGATTTAAAAAAGAAAATAGTAATGCAGTTTACTCGCAGTCTAATGTATCTATTTGCTATGTACAACACACAACTCCTTATAATTTTCGTGTTTTGAAAGTGTGTCATCCGCCGTTGAAAACGACTGTGTTTCAACTGTGCTACGTCGAAAACTATATACCAAGTCCAAGAATAATTTTAAAATCATCATTCAGCAATCTCAATGATTTGGAGTTTAGTTCGAAAGAATACAGTGAAATTAAAAAACTAAATGCACAAAACTAAACTGTTTAGGATTTTTAAATGTAACGAGAATTCTAGTAAATCATATATTTATTGAAACATTTGAAACAGATTAAATTACTGAATATCAAGAGTACTCATTGGCTGACTTGCAGTATGGTCTGACAATTGATAATAACAGGTATTGTATATAATTACTTCAAAATAATATATTATTTAATTAATTGTTTTAAATAATTTTTAGATATATATTATCCGGAGCAGTTTTTCATGAACATGATCATTATATAGCGTATGTACGCCGTGTAAATACATGATGGGAAGTGCACAAAGATTTGGCAAAAAAAATTAAAAGTACCCCTAGTTCAACAAAAATAAAGCCACATGTAATTTTATATATGAAAGAGTAAAAAAAAAAGATGTGTACATTGGTCCAAAGTCAACTATAGCAACAAGAGATGTCTTTTTTTTAATCAAACAAAAAGACAAAAAGCTTATATTTTATTATTTTTAAATTTATATTAAGCGTTTGTTACAAGATAAATAAAAGTAATAAGAATCAATAATTAATTAAATCAATTTTATTTTTTTCAATATTCCTTTTACCAATAATTTTGTTATAGTGACATGACTCCAGGATCCGGCACCAAAATGAGAAAAAGTCCGCAAAGGATTGAAACTGTCTGGTGGCGAAAAATGTTTTTGATGTATCGACCTGGCGTTTTATAATAAATGACGAGAACCATGAATCACGATTTCTTACTTTAATAATGAAAAATAAGTAAAGTAAATTTGAAATGAATAAATTTTAAAGATCTGAAAAACATAATCTATTTATTAGCAAAACAAAATACAAATTGGTATTAATTAATGTGAGCTCTTATTTAATGGCCATGAGCTTATAATAGTCAGTAACCCATGTTATGTTCCTACAAATATAGTGTAAAAAGAATTAATAAATTATTAATTTATGTTTATTGTAATATTACCATGTATTAAGACTGTAAGGGTAAGAAACAATTAAACTTATATTAAATAGTAGCCCGATATATCTGTAAAATACTTCTGTAAGTAATATATTTAAATTGTGTATTACATAATATAATTTTAAATTATACTATAAACTCTGCATACGTATAAACACACCAATGTTTGGTATGATATTTGGACTCGAAATTATAAATAAGTTAGCGACTATTTGCAAAATGTTAGCAGCATATTTCAATTCGTAGCTCAAAAGGGGGTGTAGCGTGAAGTTGCCCTCCATCTTATATTTTTCATACCTTGTAGGTAATTTATTTGCAAATTCTGAAAACCAATTTGCACATTTTTGCAAAAAAACTTTCAAAAAAATTGGTCATGGCGGGGCGGCAAACTTCACGCACATGGGAGGCCATACTATAGCATAGGTCTTCCGTGGTTGAGACATCAACAATTATTATCGTACTATTAGCTGGCGATTTTAGAAAGACTACTTTTATAACTAAAGATACGCAGGCAGATTAAAACATGCATGCTTGTTGAAAAACGTCAACCTTTTCCTTATAGCAGCGTATTAGGTATGTTAATCAATTTAGCTTGACAACAAATTTGAGTGTACGCAAAGTGCACAACGACACCGCATCGGGGCAATAATATGTGGATACTCTTATGTAAATCGGCGAATATCGTAGTCCTACAGATGCTAACGGTATGATTATATTATATATTGTTTGTACTTCGTAGTTCGTAGTATAGAAGAATTCTGAATTGTTGAGTAAAGTGTATGATGAACTGCAAGCGAATATCCATAGGAAATAAGAATGGTTGTGCAACTGCAAATATTTTGGCTCTGAAAATCAAAATTTTAGGGCAGATAAAGCCCATAGGCGGGTATCCATTGAAAATACTTGAGGGAGGTTACCTCTTCACAATAACTGTTGGACTTTTGGAGGGCTTAGCCTATAGATAAATGAAAATATTACAAGTTTAAGAAGATATTGTATCTTTCTGTGGATAATATAATATATTATGGACACGAACTAGTCACCTTAAAACCTCATAGTATGAATTTTCATATCACAGTTTCTCTACTCTTTAGGATTGTTGGGACTGATTTCTCAATTCTCATAAACTAATGTTAAAGATCTGGCGCGTACACAAGGGAGCGGGGGGTCCTCCTTTCAAAAAAAAAACATTAAAATTAATCGGTGTGCATACCTATAGAAAAATTGTGTTTTATATGTACTCTTATTTTTTTTTATAAAATCTGAAAATCTGAAAGTTCAAATTTCGACGAAAAATTAGATATTTAAACAATGTTAGTTATTTTGTTGTAATTTCAAAATAATTATTTGTGAGCATTTAACTTAATTCAAAATACTAGGTTCCTAAAAAGTAGTCCTTACTGTGGCCAAAAATGCATGAGTAAAAGTGTAAGACAGGGACAACATATGCAGGAATGACGTCCTCTTAAACATAATAATATGGTATTAATAATTTATACTTAATTATATTATTTAATATGAACAAATAAATGAAGAACTAAGAAATAACACAAAATGTAATATATTATCGGTTTGAAAAATTGCTCATATTAGTATAATAGCTAAACAATTTAAACTTGAAAATATTTTTATTTTTTTTTTTATCTACAATTGTAATTATTTTGTTAATAGTTTTATATAATAGCATTGATTACAAATAGTATTGTACTATGCATAATTAATGATAGTAGTCAATAGAATAGCATAACTCACAAGACTAAATCAAAACTTAACTGTACCTAACTATAACAGGATTGTTAAGATGTTGTTTTGAAAACTAAAACTAACAATAAATAATTAAACTGAACAGGTAATTAAAATAAGTATTAAAAATAGAAACACAGCAAATTATTATAACACACAGGTTGGCACGTGCAAAATGTAATATATGTATTATTGTAAACATAAAATAAATATGATCAACTGAAACCATATTTGATTGATACAGTGCTACAGTAAAGAGTAATACAACTTTAACAATACAGTTAATATTATGTTTAGGTCAAAAATAAATGTTTCACAAAAAAAAAAAATGTTTTATATAACACATTACACATGTAGTAAAATATTTTTATGGTAAATATATATACCAAAATGGGAAGTTTTGAGCAATATATTTAATTTAATTTGAGACAAATTTTGAGTTGTCTATAAGACAAATATGTATTTTAAATTTTAACATAATAATTAATATCTAATAGAATAAACTATTTTATAAGTCATAAATGGAGTAGTACATATTAAGTTACCCGCATTTTTCTAATTTGTAAAAGTATAGTAAATTGATTACACAATTCCAGTGATAAAAACATATAGTTGATGAAGTATTGGTATAAATAAATTAAAAATGTATTATTATTTGTATTTATTAAACATATGATAATAGAAATTAATATAATTCAAAAAAACATTTTTTTTTAAATTAACTTGAATCAAAAGAAGTCACATTGTTACATATCAAAAATACAAGTGTAACACATTACACGTACACCCAAATAAATAAATATTTCCCCCTAATGAATATGTATTGTTAATCTAAAATATAACAAGGTAACAAACCAAGACTTTATTTCATTTAACTCAAATAAAAAAAATATTAAAATTAATTTGAAAGCACATTAACACAAAATAACAACAAGAAAATACATAAAATGTTATACATTACTTTAAGATTATAATTCATTTTTGACCAGAAACTTTTTGTTTTTTATGAAATATATTAGAAATTCATGAATTTATTATTGGTTTTTTACAATTACATAAATATTTAATAGATCCAATTATTTCAATTTCCAGTCAGTCTTTTTTTTTTACACTAGTAAAGCAATAGTTAGTTACCTATATCATTCACATTCAATAATTATAATTTAAAGAAACGGACTGAAAATGCAAATCATCTAAAAATAAAATCAAAAAAATAAGTAATAACCAGTCTTTGAATCTCGATTATGGTTACAACTTTTGCACCCTGTCCTGTCTACATTTTTAACATTTTAGTACATGATTTGCATATTGCTCCAATTAAATATAAAATTGTAATTAAAATATACTTAATTAAATTTGATTTGTGCAGTCATTTTTATTTAGCCAAACAATTCCAAAATACTATTAATATATCTAATTAAGTTGTTATATGATGGAAAAAAATCAAAAATATACAACCTAATCTGAATTATAGTTATGAATTATATGGAATTGAATCATTTTTAATACAACTATAGGCCATCATATTTTATTCATACTAAGATTATATTCTTCCAATATTAACATAGATAAAATATATTGTATTTTTTGATTTCTAGAATATACAACTAAACATTATATAAGCCCAAAAATATAAGGTATTTTTTATCAGTATTAAACAAAGATATATTAGCCCCATTAAGATAAGCCATAATTTAATGACAAAGTCTATTCTTTGTTATGAATATATGAAGTTACTTAAAAACAGAGAAAAATAAAGGAAGACGAAAAAATTATTGGACAAATTTAAATTATATAAAAAATAATAATATTAAATCCTATTCTGTCACAATGTATAACCGATTAATGCATCAATACACATTATATTTCTATTATTTTTAAATATTTTCTTATACTTTTTGTAGTAATGTAAGTATTAATAAAAAATAAAATAAAAATGTGTTTGGAAATGTTGTAAGATCTTTAAAATAAATATGGGATAGTTGTGTAGAAATTATATTTGATTTCTATAGTCGTCATATATTCTTGATACTATCAGATGATTAAAAAACCTTGTTTTAAAATAATACTTAAAACAGAATAAATGACTTAGATTTTTGTTAAGGCTATTAAAATAATAATTTATACATTAATTTATCAGTTATAATATTATGTTTTGAAAATAAATTGGGAAGTTGGGCTCATAAATATTACCTGGCCTGTTACTGACAGGCGTACATATTATACATATAGCACCTTAATTGGGGAAATCTGGAGTTAGCCATTAATTTGTTTGTAACTATAATGTTAACACTGTAATTGTACAGAATTTAAATATTTCAAAAGTTTTGTTGTCGTTTACGCTTTTGATCCATAGCATCAAGTATTGGTTGGCGTTTTGTTTGATAGCGACGTCTCAGCTCATCAATTTCATGTTCCATTTCAGAATCCAAATTGGACATTCGTTGTTGCAAGTCATCAAAGCTTAAAAACTTCAACTATATAATACAAATTAAAAAAAATAATGTAGTAATAAATCTTAGTATTTAAATTAGATTGATGAATTAATATCAGCAATTCAATAACGTTAATTCTAAAATAATTTGAAAAGTTAAAAAATATATGATTTTTATAGACATCTATTATAAATTAGGGTAGCCTCTCATTGTCTTTTATGATGCTACAACACTGCAAATAGTTAATTATGATCTTTAATAAGAGTAATGTAAATTAATTTAATTCAAGAGTTAAATAAAACCATTAAAATAAGGTCTACATTATTATTAACATATCAAAAAAAACTTACAAAATCAAAGTCTCCATCAACAATTGGTGTGTAGTATCGGTTTTGATGAGGAGCTGTTGGTAGATTACCATCAGGCTTACAATTTATTTGCGGCATAGGAAATTGATGTAAAGTTATAGTTTTTTCAGATTCATCAATCTAAAAAAAATTGTATTAGACATATTTTCAAGACATTCATTTTTAATATACATTACTTGAGAAACATCTTGAGCAGAATCTGGTCTATCACCAAATAATTTGTTTCCCACATCAAAATTATCGTTCTAAATTAATAATAGTAAAAATATTAATATAAAATATACCATATATAAATATTAAGATTCTATAGAGTGAAAATAGGATTTATATAAACAATATTTAATATAAATTGAAGGAAGTAGATAACAATAATTACTTTTGATTTTTCTGCAATTTTTTTATCAAAATGATCTAAGAATAAGGGTCTATACTTTTTACCCGATTCTTCAGGTCCTGTATCATGCCCTAGAATAGCAAACATATTACTCAAAAAAATAATCGACTTGTTTCAGTTATAAAAATTATTTGAAACACATACTTTTCATTGTGGAATCATCTTCTCCATCGCTATTAATTACCATTGTTCTCAATTCTTCTACTAATGAATTACTTTTTAAACTTGTCCCTTTTGATTTATCTGGTACAAGGGTGCTATCATCTACTATCATTGTACGACTGTCAATATCATCGTCCTGAGTAGACAAACAAATTTAAACAATATATCCACTAAATTACAACATTTAATTATCCAAGCCAATTACTTTTGAACTTTGATCTTTGGATTCAGCTGATTTTAATAAACAGGAAGCATTAGAACGAAGAGTTTGATTCTCTCGAATTTCTCTTGCTTCAGCAATCATCTGACTCAAAATTTCTGGTGGCTTTGGATTACCTAAATTTAAACAAGATAAATGAAATTATTAAAAATAAAGCACTTTGTTAATTGTAGAATTGTTAGTTACCATTTTTATTAATTAAATAAGAAAAATGCATGTCCTTACCAATAAATTCATGATCTAACATTTTTGTGGCTGTTGCTCGTTCTTCTGGGTTTTTAATTAGACATTGACTAACAAAATCAATAAATTCTGGAGACCACTTATCTGGTTCTCGAAACGAAGGTGGTGGTTTAGTCGGTATCATGAATATGGCACGCATCGGATGTATATCACCGTATGGAGGTTTGCCTTCCGCCATTTCCAACGCAGTTATTCCTAATATATATAATATAACTCATTGTCATTGAAATACATACTTATTTATTCTAAATACTCAATTTATTATGAACTAGTAACAGTGTTGGGTAAATTACTTTTAAAATATAATTAAGTTACTTTACTTATTGCTTAGAGATAAATGTACTATTGTTATTTTTTATTATTTTACTTAAATATTACATGACATGTTGTTACTCCAATAAAACTGTCATGAAATTTCTTTACTTGTCGAATTGAAAAGTTTTTAGAATTTTCTTTTTAATTTCAGAGCAATTTATTGTCATTCTACAAGCAACCTAACTCGAAATACAATATAGTAAAAAGGTCTAACAATTTAAAAAATATATACAAAAAAAATCACACATAAAAAATATTTAACAGAAATACAAGATAAGGGCAAACGGCTATCAACTGATGGGCCAACAATAAATAAGGAATAATAATTAAAAACCCTCAATTTTATTATTAAATGTTTAATAAACATGAAATCATAATGATTTTTTATAAAAAATAACTTATAAAAATAAACAGTTTTTTTTATAAAGGGGCAAATGGTTGTAATAATTTAGAATGCAGCACTCTAAATATTTTGATTTATTATTTATCAGTACTCATTAAATAATTATCAGAAAAAAAAAATTATATTCTAATGTAAATTGCTAATATTACAGTAATAAGTAGTACACAGCTCTAAATTCTTTAGAGTATTAAAAGTAAACAGCATTAATAAAGAAAAATCAATTGTATATACTGCATTATAAAATGTACCTATGACTACTAGTTAATTGTTCATAGTGTGTATAATAGTTTATAGAAATTAATAGTTAATTTAATAATTGGAATGCATACAAATTAAAAACTTAGTGACAACAACCTACTCTAGGTAGTCATAGGTAAGGTTATATAAACTTATTGTCATATATAGAAAAATGTAATTAACTTTGTTCGTAATTTAAGGTGCAGCAAGTAGACATGTAAAAATCATTAAAAACTGAATTATGTCAAGTTAATATTATATTTATATTTACATATATTTAATACCTGCATTAGGAATATTTATAGACTGTTTTATAGTATTAATATCAAATTCCCAATTGGTACTAAGCATGTCAAAACTGTAAACATGTAATGTTCTACAGAAATTTTTGTTACTTGGAAATAATTCTTATGAAATTACATAACATGTTAAAAACAAAGTAATGTGTTACTTTTGCTATGTTACTACCCAACACTGAATAATAATTAATATACCTAAGCTCCACATATCAGCAACACAATCATATCCTATTTCTTGGATTACTTCAGGTGCCATCCAAAATGGAGTTCCAATTACAGTATTTCTTTTGGCCATTGTATCCTAAATAATAACAATAATAATGCATATAAACTATTTATAGTTTTACGCCTTTAATCATTTAATAGACACTTACAGTCAGCTGTCCTGCAACCCCAAAATCAGCTAGTTTAGCATGTCCCTCTGAATTTAACAATATATTTCCAGCTTTAATATCCCTGTGTATTTTTCTCCTTAAATGTAAGTACTCTAGTCCTTTAAGTGTGTCTGACAATATAGTGGCTATTTCATCTTCCGATAGTGTCTTTTTTCTTAACCTCATGATGTCAGATACTGAACCAGCACCACAATATTCCATAACAATCTTTAAAATACAGTAAATATTTCAGAAAATATATTATATATTAATAGGTAAATAATAAAAATCAATTATTACCCATAAATCAGTATTTTTAAAATATGAACCATAATATTTAACTACATAGGGACTATCGCATTGTTGCATAATGGATATTTCTTTTATTATTTCCTGAAGATCGGTGTCAACCGGCACTTGCTTAATAGCAAGCACTTGGCCAGACTCTTTATGCAGCGCTTTAAAAACACTTCCATAGGATCTGTGAACAAACAGATGTTAGGGGGTTGGTAGTCTAAAACTATTTTTCAAAAATAATCATAAATGTTACCCTTCTCCGAGTTTACATATTATGTCAAACACTTCTTCCGGCTGCCTGGTCAAGCTTTCTTCAGACAATTTTTTCAATTCACTGCAATAAAAATAAAAACCAAGTATTAGTTAATCATTGAGAGAGCAATGATTGATATTTCAGCACTTACCTCTTTGAAGACATCATTTTGTCAGGAGTCTTATAATTAACATGGCATAAATTAAATACAGATTTTGAGTTCGACATGTAATAAGCTGCTTTGCTATTTACAAACACTATAATATATAAATAAATATTATATTTTATGTATATTACTACATAGATCAAACAAAAAGAAGACAAAATTAAAACGAAATAAAAAATAAAATGTTGGTACAAAAATGATTAAAACTGATGGTAGTAACGAAAGATATTTCTGTTATCGTTAAAATGTGTGTGATTATAAAATTTAATTTCTTGTTATCTCGTATCAATCATATCGAAATATCGAATTAGGCGGTATTGGAGGCCACGACTGGTACAGGAATCCCGCCGTCCCAGGCCCAGGCAATGAAGACGTGATGTACCTACATAATATATTAAAATCAAGATCCATAAGACCATAACAAGGACGTGCAGGTATTACTAGGGTAGTACAATTCTATAGGAGCATTTTATAGATACTTTACTATAGGTATTACTATTATATTTGAGTATCAAATATGACCAAGTAATCGAGAACCTGAAAGCTTATTGTTTAGAATGTTTTTGAAATTGTGCTAATTTTGCTGTCAACGGTATTTTACATATGACCATCACCTCTGAAGTAATACCAAGACTAGTCAACGCCTGGTATAATATTTTGTTTTTGCACCAAACGACAAAGTACAAATAAAAAGGGTGCATTTGAAGTCTGTCGGTCAAATATTGTATGGCTGTTAAACGTGAAAAGTAAATTAAATAAACAATTTCAAGCTTCAAATTATGATTCTACGCAAGACATTTCATGATGTGCGGTATGCAAAGAAGTACAGTGTTGCCTTAGCCAAACCATTATCTGAACTTTTCAATCAACCTAAACCAAAGTTCAAATATTTTGTCAAAAACCAAACTGTAAGACATATACATTAGCAACTTTGTAGTTTTACTAATTACATGTTTGAAATATTATTATTTAGGGACTCTTTGGAGCACCGGAATTGGTTTCATTTGAGGGGTTTTATGCATTCAAGGAACGTACAAAAATAGATTGTGACAATTTAATTGATGAAATATGCGATTCCAATCGGTAATTTTTATTTTAGTTAACCTGTATTTAATAAATAGAAATACAATTATAGACATGTTATTAAATTATAAATAAATGATATATCACTTGTATTTAAAGCTACTTTATATAAACCTTGATCTTGGAAACAAGTTTTAAAAAAATTCTGATCCAATTAGTAACAAGATTTTATATAATATTTGAATACAGTGTTAAATAATTCCTAAAAATAAATTTATAATAACTATAAGCTAATATTTGATATATTTTCATGACAAACTCAAAGAAATTGTTTTTTTTTTAAATTTAAATGTAAAAACATAATCATATTATTGAAATTTACATATATTCATTTGTACTCTGAGTACTTACTTATTATATTCTACTGACTTAATAATATTGTATGATTTATCAATTGATAAATTATATTTTTTTTGTAAGCATCTAGTATAAAATATAAATAGTATTTTTTTCATTAATTACTTAAAATGTTGACTCTAATTTTGCCCTTAACAATTTAAATATTTCATTACATTATAGAAATAAATTAAATTGTGTGTTATAATAGCAAGAGAAATCTGGTGACAATTTTTGACCAGCTGTCCAATAGTCTTTGTTGTCTTGCTGATATGGCTGAATTTATTCGTACAGCACATCCAGACAAATCGTTTGTTACTGCTGCTGAAGATTGCTGTATTTCAATGAATACTATTGTAGAAAAGTAAATACTTAATCTCAGTTTTGAATTTGCTATTATATACAATATTTATCTATTAGATTAAATACAAACAAAGATTTATATACAAATCTGAAACAAGTAGTCCTTGACGGTGATAAACATCCTATGACTGAAGAGGATCAACATGTTGCTGAATTATTTTTGTTTGATTTCGAATTGAATGGCATTCACTTAGAAGAAAGAAAAAGACAATACGTTGTTAACTTGAATAATTTTATTTTGGTTACTGGACAACGATTCATGATTGCAGCAGAAAAGCCTAGAATTGTAGATCCTACTGGATTGCCTGATGCTGTTTCGAAAGTTCTTTCTAAAGAGTATATAACTCAGTAAACCTATAAGTATATTTAACTAATGGGCTAATTATTTGATTAGATACAGCTCAGGAGGGAAGTTAATAGTTGGACATCCTAATTCCCATTCTGAAGATCCAATTTTGAGAGAAGCTGCCTTTAAGGTTTATAATGGTCCAAATAGTGAATCAGAAGAATTGTTAGATAACCTTTTAGAAAGCCGTCATAAATTGGCTTTGACTTGTGGTTTTCCATCTTATGCTCATAGGTGAGAATTGAGAAGTTATCTACAAGTATCAATGACTGATGTTCATTTATATATTATTTTTTTAAGAGCCCTGAAAAACAGCATAGCAGAAAATCCTTATTTTGTCATGGATTTCTTGAACATCTTAAATACAGAGCTAAGGATTCGGTCAGTTTTTGATTACAAGACTATGAAAAGAGCCAATAACAATGATGTAATTATTTTTCCCTTCCCCTATTTTCCTAATCAATAAATAACTTACTACTTATTTTTTTACAGTACAACTTATCGGTTACCAAATTAACACTTGTTGTTTCTACAAACTACAAATAATTGTTTTTGTTTTTGTAGATGGTATCACCATGGGATGTACAATATTTGACTAATAAGATTAAACAGAATCATCTTAAATATGCAATGATTGATTATGCGTCATATTTTTCTTTAGGCGATTGTATGGAAGGATTGAATATGATTTTTAATAGTTTGTACAATATAAAATTGGTGTTTGAAGATATAGAGCCAGGTGAAGGGTGGGCCGAACAAGTATACAAGTTGGCTGGTAAAAATATAATTCCAATTTCTTTAAAGAAATTTTTTTAATTAAACAAATATTTTGGTTTTTAGTTACACACGAAACAGAAGGTTTACTTGGGTACATTTATTGTGACTTTTTTGAAAGAACAGGAAAATTACACAATGATTCGCATTACGTAGTTAGAGGAGGACGACAATTGCCAGATAATTCTTATCAAGTAAATATTACTCATAAACTACACAATTAATATATATTATGTTAAAACAAGATGCTTAAATTGAATGTTGTATCAGACCCCAATTGTAGTAGTCATGTTAAATGTGGTGTGGCGTGAGAATCGTGGTCCGGTCCTTTTGCATCCCGGTTCTGTTGAAAATTTATTCCATGAGTTTGGACATGCAATACACTCTATGTTAGGCCGAACGCGTTATCAACATGTCAACGGTACACGCTGTGCAACTGACTTGGCAGAATTTCCATCGGTTTTGATGGAATATTATGCAACCCAACCACAAGTAAACTAATAATAAAAGGCATTAGCCATTTTGTACTCATCTCATAATATATTCTATACAGGTCATAAAACACTATGCCAAGCACTTTAAAACTAGACAACCCATGCCGGAAGATATGTTGAAAAAATTATGTGCATCCAAATATTTATTTTCTGCTTCTGAAATGCAGTTACAACTGTTTTACTCTGTACTAGACCAATATTACCATACACAAGCACCACAACCATTAAATACAACTGATTTGCTTGCAAAATTACAAGTAGAATATTATGGACTGCCATATGTTAAAAATACGGTAAAATGTGTTGATTTACTGAACTAATAAGACTATTAATTTATATTATGTAAATATTGTACAGGCATGGCAACTACATTTTTCACATTTTGTTGGTTATGGCGCAAAGTATTATTCGTATTTAGTATCCAAGGCATTAGCAGCACACACATGGCATACATTATTGAGTAATGATCCCCTAAATAGAATTCAAGGTGAACGATTACGTACAGAATGTTTGCAATATGGTGGTGGGAAACCGGCAAGAAAATTAGTCTCAGATTATCTCAGAACTCCAGTAACGCCCGAACTCTTGGCATCATCTTTAATACAAGATATTGATCAAGGCACTGAACTCTCAAAAATGTCTATTACATAAACAAATAATAAAATCTTAACTTGGCTCATAAATAAATTTTGATTGATTATCAGATTTCAATATTTTTAAATTGTAAAAAAAAAAATTGTGTAATTTACTGATAAAGACAAGCAAGTTGAACCTAAAAAGCACATCCCTAGAGGTAAACAAAATTAATTTTAGGAATGTGACTCCAATTTTTGTCTCAAATCAATATACCTATTATTTGTTATTTATATTATATAAATTATGTAGTAAAAAAATACGTAAGTGTTAACAAAAATATAGGAATCGGTTTTCCAAATTTATGAGTTGTTTTATAATAATCCAGAGGAGGGTTTGCCTATGGTAACTAACCAAACTCGAATGTAACAGTAATAAATATATAAATAAAAGATAGTCTGTTTTAATTATAAATGTGTCTTATAAATATTAAAAACAAAATCAATAAAAATTAAATTCAAAGTTATAATATTGTTTTTCACTTAATACAAAGTATTTTTATATGGTTTAACAATTGAAAGCTAGTACACATTCCATTGATAAAAAATAATCAAGTGTACATACAAATTAAACAAATATAATATTTTGTTTTAGATTCTGGAACTGTCGCTTAACATGTATGATTATGATTGAACAATTTAAATAATAATAATAATAAAAAAAATTATGAGTATTTTCTCAAAATAACACTTGTATAAAACTAATGTAACAACATCAGATCAAACTAATAGTTATAGATTTTAATAATAACAATTAATCAAATGTCCTTTAAGGAGTGGCAATTCACTGTTTCTTTAAGCTGAAAACAAACAAAATTAAAGAATTATTAACTATATAAGATACATTAATACTAAAAGATATTGATGGTCAAGTTGGTAATGATATTTGTAAGAATAATTCAATAAGATCAAGCAGAACAAGTATGAAGATGCACGAGTCCTTCATCTATCTTTAGATCTTACTAATGACAGACATATGACAACAGTAATACGAGTATAATTATTTCAACTATTACTTATCACTTATCAGTTAACTTATAATGTAATCAAATAAAGCATTAAATAATACAAAATAACATTAAATAGTCGCATGTACAGAGTATAATAGAAAAACCTGACATATTAAATAAATTTGGTTCAATATTTACATCTTTATGTATATAATTCTACTGTAGTATATGTGTATGTCACTAAACTCCTCCTAAACGGCTGGACCGATTTGAATGAATGTTTTTGTATGCACATTTGGGTGACACCCTGGATAGTTTAGATTCACAATTGGACCCGATAGGTTCGACCCGGGGAGTTGCTCAAACAAGGATTTTAAGATTTACGAAAGAAATATTTGTTTATATAATATTGGTTATAGGAAAATAAATAAATAAATTTAGTAGAAATTGGTATTTTTTTATTTATTGGTTGCCTACAGTGGTTCATCGAGCAGATCAGGGGTATAAGCATTTATACAATCTAATTTTCGCACTTTGCCTACCAAGGTGGCTGAGTTGCACTTATAGCCATCGGCGTATCCACAATCAAAATCAAAATAAAACAATATTTATACAAAGTACTCATCGAGCGGGGTCCATAACTCATAGCAGGTAGGCATAATATACTACTCGCATTATCACCATCGAGTCTCATATGGAGTTGGCATTTTTAACGGGTAACTAACTGCACAGGATCAGCTAGTATATATATATTATGCATATATAATTTAAGTTTTTATTCTTAATTTTCAATACTGAAAATAAATATTTTAACATTTATTTTTTAAATTTCAAAACAGACAATTTGTAAATCTGGTTTTTAGAAAACTTTTGATTGTTAAAGCATTTATGAGTAATTTGGATTTTTGAGAAGTATTACCTTCACAAAAAATATTTAGATTTTACCAAGTAACTATAAATATTATTATAATCAAAATATTTCTAAAATCCAAACTTACAAATTGATTATTTAGAATTTAAAAAAAGAATGTATACCAGTTTGAAAATTTGTTATTTACAAATAAGTGTTATACTATACATGTAACATAAGCGTCTGGTAAATGATTTAAAAAAAAATTTTAAACATTGATTGGAACAAGTTCTTTTAATACGTCAGGTTTTTCAGTTACAATCTGTTTGTCATTTTTAAGCTGATATATGAAAATAATTATATTCTGAAATAATAATAAATAGGCACATGAACCAAAGAAAAATATCTCAATGTGGGGAAAAATGTGTTGTGTATGATATGGATACTTAAAAAAAATTACATATACTTTATAAAAAAAAATTTCACTTGATTGATAAAACATAAATATACTTAGAATATTAATTTTACCTTTGATATAACGGTATGTTAATGCAGTATGGAATATGAGGTGAATCTGGTTCGGTTTTGTAAAGTTGAACACATGGCACATCGTCATTAGGTGCATTAACTGTATTTACTAAAACTGTACCATTCCCAATAATCGTAAATATCTTATTGGCAATATCTGGAGTCATAGTATTAGGAGGTAAAAAGTTCATTGATACTTTTATAGCCTGAAAAATGAAAAAAAAAACATTTTTTTTATCACATATAGATAATAATGCAGGATATTTTTTAATACCTGAGGAGCAATCTTGGCCAACAGTGGATCATACAATTCTAAATTAGCTAATTTAGTTATTTCACATTGAGCAATATTGCCATAGTCTATATAAATTATCTTGGCCTAAAATAATAGAACATAGGTAACTTAGTAAAAATGAACTGTTATTATTCTTAAAAAACAAAAACAAATTAACAAATTATTTAAGTTAATTTTTTTTTGTAAAATGACATTTCATGCAATTAAAAAAAAGGGTATTTATAAAACTATATTATTTATTTTACGTGAATTATTAATAAAATTATTTATCAACTTTACAACAAATTATGGTTATAATTTACTTTTATTTCAAAATTTAGTAACAGTACAAAAATATAACAGTTAAAACAAATTGTCAACCAGGTGGCACAGAAATAACAATATCAAAACATGTGTAACAATGTTTCATCTCCTGCAAATATTGAGATGGGATATTTCATACCCAGATTCACAGGATGTTTGGTTCCAAGCTTAGGTATATTTATGACAAGGTGTTTGGTTCCTGGGTATTTTAAATTATTAATCACATTTTAATAACATTAATTTTATCTGTCAGAAGTTAGCTGAACTTAAATTCTAAGCATGTACCAATCACTTTACTTCATATAGAAATAATGAATTACTATGAAATAGATGATTATGTCATATTAGGCAATTATACATATTTTAAATTGTTCACACCCCTACTCCATCTCAGATCTTTTTTATATTAATACATTTAGAAAAAAAATGTTCTGACCTTTGTCCATAGTAATTGTATTAAAATTTTATGATTTATACTATCTGACCAAATAATGCATAATACTATTTACAGATGTCAATGAACTTATTTTGACTAATCCTAATATGACAAACTTTCACATATTAAAGTGACCAACACACTATACATTAGAATTACAAACACATTAGTAACACATGATGAAGGAAGCCATCCAGTGAAAAAACAAACTGCTTAATTTAAAATTTTACCCATTTTTTCCTGAATAATATTTTTATCATAATAGTACTAACTTCAGAGTCATTAATTGTATCAAGAACTTGAACACGGCTCCATATATTATCAGCTTCATATTTTGTTATGTACACTTTGTCTTTCATAATATCTTCCTTGCTCTTAAAAAAAAATTCCGGGTCTAAAAATTCATCATTTGGCAAGATTTCTTCAAGTGATGTAACAATATCAATGTTTAATTGTAAATATAAATGGCCAGACTCAACTATTGATGATACATTTCCATCCACAATAGCTTGATCCTGCACAATAATTTTTTAGTAAGAAATAATCGACAACATACACTTAAAACTATTGATTACCTCAAATAATGGAAGCTTAGTGGTAGTTCTTTCTAAAAATCTTTGAATGATCATGTCATTTACATTAACTCTTCCTTTTTCATATAAAGTGACTCTTGCACATCCTTCTTCTAATGAATCTGGTACAACGAAGAATGTTTTATTCAAAATCATTTCATCCAATAGTTCTTTTAAGCCATCAAATGTGCCAAAATTATCCAGTTGAGTTAAAATACATTCAATTGCCTAAAAATCCAGAGCAAAGGATGTGTTAATTAAGAACAGTTGCCAGTTATATATATTTTATTACTGTTACTAGAATTCAATTTTAAATATTTTTAAAAAAGTAGCAATAATCGAATAATTGCCAATACAACTTTTAAAATAACATTATCTTAGCAAACAAAATAATTATTGTAGTACTAAACATTTTAAAGAAATATATCATATTTTTTATAACATAAGTTTAGTGTTGGTACTTGGAAATAATACATTGTTGTTTTATTTAAGATCTCTTTTTCTAAAACACTTGGGTAGTTAGTAGAGATCTGCAAGGGCCATTTATTTTTGGCTCAAAAATTAATATTTCCGCAAAAGCCTGGTCCATATTTTTTTTTGAAGTCAAACCCGACCAGGACTATTTGTATTTTTTTTTATTAAGTCTAATCTGTAATGTAATTTTGTTTTATGTTTGAATGAACTGGTCCAAAGAAAAATATTACGATCCTACCCATAACCAACCCTCAATATTTATATTATAGCCAGGCCAGCGCAGATCTCTAGAAGCCAGTAAATAAATTATGAAAGATTTACATAGTTCCTGTAGTTATTATAAATCACATAGGTACTTAAGTCATTAATGAACGTGGACAAATTATAACAACATACAGTTGTCCTGAAGAAATGTTTACATGAAAACAAATAAGTTTTGATTTAATGAATTCTAATAGTTTATTTAACTAAATTGTGAAAATTGTATGATTGATAAAATTATCTTAAAAATATACTAGTAATCTTTCAGTCTTTTTAATCATAAATTATACCTGAGTTTTCGGTTTCATAAAAATTGGTTCTAGGTAACAAATCTGGTCTTTGGCAATGTTCAATTGCTCGCCTGTGTCTATCATAAAACATGTAGCTGTACCATCATCATTATTAACATAAGATATTTGAACTCTATGCCAAGATGAATTGTATAGCACGGCATAAAATTCGCCTTCAATCACTTGATCTGGGATACTTAAGCCTGCTGTATTCATAGTGTCATTGAATTTTGCTTGCATTTGAATAAAATTTTCCTAAATACAATACATTTATTTTTTATATTCTTCATACCTACATAAGTAAGATGATTAAAAAACTTACATCTGCACTCTGGCCAACCAAACGAATCCAAACATTAGTTGAACCATAGTTAGCAGAAACGAGAACAGATTTTTCAGAGTAGTCTTCAAATAATAATGGAGTACCTGGAACAAAGTTTTGTTCTTCTGCAAAATCTTTATTTGTATATTCATGACCATTTTGTTGATTATTTTCAGTTTCATTCTACATAGCAAACAAATAATGATGGCTCAACATTTTTTTATTTTTTTGTTAACTGTATAGAAAAATAATTACAAGATATATAACGACTTTATTAGCTGCTAGCTTATCAAATGTGAAGTAATTAAAAACTCCTAGAAGCTGATCCCAATTATCAGGCAAGTTTTCATGAAATTCCTCTTTATAAATACGTTCTAAGACATGACCCATAATACCAGTAGTCTCATGTCCTTGTTTTAGAAGCTAAAATAGAATACATACAATCCATTTATGATCAAAATTACATTTATTACTATAATTTGTTATAATACCTTTTTAACGCAAGATGCCATTGTATTAATATCATTAGTAATTGGATAAATAACACTTTCTCCATATTGCTTTTTTAAAATAGTAAGAGCGTGTTTAGCAGCAACTTTTTGTGCATAATCATTTGTAGTACAATCAACTGGGAAAGAACTACCGACACTTTTTTCATTTACCTAGAAAATATATTTAAATATTTTAGTTGCAATAATTATTTATTATAATTGGTTCAACAATACTCAATTACAAGACAAATAGAAAATTCAAGATTTATCATCAAATTAAACATAAAAATAAACTATATATTTATATAGTAACATGCAAATAAGTTAGAAAAAATCTAGTTCAGCACATGTGCCAAAATTTTTTTTTTATTTAACTAATTCACAAATCAAAAATAATGATTCAATAGTAAATGTATAGATATTATTATTTTCTGTGTTTAAAATATATTTTAAAAAATGGTGCTTTCACATATTTGATACAACCTACATAAAATTTCAACCTTAAATTTAAAGTGAAAATTGTTATTTCTTACACTGTGTTACACTGTTACATGTGTAATACCGACCATCACACACATTTCAAACCAATAAAGTAAACAAATATTTGATGGCAGTCTCTTTCAAAATCTATTATTAAAAATAAAAATTGAAATGATGCACATGAGCTTTAACTAGATTTATACATATAACAATAGCTGGACACTTACCTTAATTGTACAAATGTGCGTTAGTTTAAGAATTTTCCCAGACTTTTCTTTTTTGACCATATACTCATAATACGGTTCTGATAAGTTTAAATTTTTTAAATATGTTTCCAGTTCATTTATATAGTCCTTATCTTCTTCAAACACCTAATAATCAATAATTTATTTTAAAATTTGTTGTTACCTCTTCAATTACTTAAAATAGGTTATTACTAATTGTATTAATATTAATACACAAATAACATGAATGAGTGTTTAGGAAAGCACCTCGTTAAAAATGTAGCCAGATAAAAATTCTATAGTATGCTCTGTCTCAAGTCTCTAGAGAGAATACATGAAGAAACCTCAAGGTTTAAACTAGGTATGTTAAAAATTAAATGAATATAAATCATGTGTTTAGTACCAATTGTGATGTGTTTTATTATGATTACCTATTTAAATATTTAAAAGCCACCACTAGTCAGGGTAAGAGTGCAACTGATTTATCACATTATATATTATGGGCCAATATAAGTTTAGCTTAAGTTAAGAATACAATATTTAGACATTTTAAGGAGTGCAAAAATTTGTATTTTAGATCAATAAATAAAGTTGCATTTAGTGAAGATGTAACTAAATACATGTAATTAATTAATAATTAATTTTAAAGTATTAAATTCAGCAACACAAGAGATTCACAAAGAATGCACATTCTTTTTTTCTTTAAATAAATAATTTATTCAAATTCTGATTTTGGAAACTTAAATATACTAAGGACTATAGTTTCAAATACTAAGATTTTGATGTAATTTAAGCTCCTCAAAGAAGCGTCCTAATTATTCACTTCTTTTTTTGCAAGTGAGAACCAATTTTTATGTTACGGTAAATTGTTAAGCTGATAATATTTTTGATAACATTTACATATTGAAATTGAATGAGTAGTAAATAACTAATCTAAGTCTGTCTTCAAGGATAATAGGTTGGAAGAATGGGAGCTATGATTATTTGAATACATAAATTATAAATATTAATCAATCGAAATTGTATAATTTGTAGAAGTGTAATAGTATAACTATGATATATCATAGATTCATAATATATTCTATTTCTATTTTTATTCAATTCAAATTATCTTGTAAAACAGTGTCTTTTGTGGCATATTTATACCTATATACTCATGTTTTATAGAATAACGAATAATTTAGCATGTAATGCTCATTTAAAATTGTATTTTTCACACAAATATTAATAATTAATTGCTCAGAACTTCATGCATTTGGATGTTTCTTAGGAAGATTTATATTCAAAATCTGATTTCATACAATTTGTTTCATGATACATACAACCGAAATACAAAAATGTATGTTACATATTTTTAAATATTTTACTTAATTTGTATGATTTTGTGTATTTAAAGATTCTAAACATGTTTAATGTTTATAATAAACAACAAGAACCTAATTTAATAGTAATTATGCTTTTTTCAAGTTTATTCTCATATAAATACATATTTTATAAAACTTGCTTGCTTTTTTTAGTGTATCTATAATATACACTTATTTTATTGTTTTTTTAATGAATTAAGGTCCAAACCCTTATTATTTTTCATTTCATAAAAAACAATTACCTATGGATAGAAGTGTACTATTTTTAAACTTAATTTCATTGTTTTGGTTTAATATTGTTTAAATTTAAATGTAATGTAAGAAGGCATTAGTAAGGTACTAATTTAAAATTGTAAGTAATGAGTGTGGTTCCACAAAAATTATCTAATAATTTTTTTGTTATTATTATTTATTTTGCGAGAATATAGAACAAGGTTGGCCTCTCCTGACTTAGAACAAAAATATTTAGATTCTATTTATAAAGCTTATCCAATTCAGATAGTATGACATTTTTTAAAAATATTAAACAACGAAAATTATGTTTTAACGTTAAATTACAAATTATAGTATCATTATAACTAGGTTGTTTTAACCAAACAAAGTTTTGTTAGCAAGTAATTACAGTAGAGTTACCCATTCATATGTTTACTTTAACCTTTAAAGTTTTGCAGAACATTTATAATTCACAATTTATTATTTTATTCACAAATGCGATTTAACTTAAATAAATTAATGTTTTAATTTTACAGGTGGTCAACTTAAACATATCAGCTATTAATAAAATTAAATATATATAGTTACCTCATGAATAGGGTCTTCAACTTCATTTCTCAAATCTGTAGCTGCAGCACAAGGTCTTTCTGAATTCGATTTACTCTCTACATCAACCTATTAAATAATAGTATGCATTAATACTTGGAAAATAAATACAATATCGCGAAATTATTTAGATCGTACTAAGTGGCAAAAATCGCTTAACAAAGATTCTAAAGTTTTACATGACTTTTGAATAGTTTTTAAAACTTCAGTATAATTAACAACAAATATTTAATAATCCATAATCATCTATCTCAATTGAATATTAGCCGGAAAAAAATCAAAAAATCAGTTAAACTAAAAATACAGGAGTCAAAAAATAAATTTGTTTTAATTATGATGATAATCTGATATTCATAATTTAATAATTCAATATAATAAGGTTAATCTAATACTAAGGTAGCACTAAAAAAAAAAACATTAAACCGGGAACTGGAGTATAATAAATAAATGCCAAAGGCGCAATAGAAATTTATTGTTGGACGAAATATCCTTAGGTTAAATTGATGTATAGTTGTAAACTTGAGAATTGATAAATATAAAATATATTTAAATAATGGATAGACTCATACTGTAATACTGTATACGGTAGGGCGAAGACATTGTTCTTAACTAGTTACTGGGCCCTGCGGAGTGCGGTATATACTGGTGTTAAAACGGGCATATAATTGTATATAATAATGTAAGGCAAGCCCCCTCCAGTACTGTGGTGTATGGCTTGCCACCATAATGTGGCATTTGAACATTTCCATAGCCCATAAAGGTTTATTTATATTTAGCTATCAATAATAAACTATTTAAATCTTATAGGTATAGGTACTATAGTAATTAATGGTCATAAATTAATAATAATACCCAATGGAGAACATAAATATATAGCCAGCAAGCACTACTATTGCGGTGTCGGTAAAATTCCAGATTAAGGGGGGGCATAGCCTCCCACACGATATCAAACATTAGTGAGCCACTGGTGGGTATAGAAAGTGTGTTTTCTATAATATATTATGGATAAAAGATATTATGTTATTATTATTTGATATGGTAATATCATATATTTTAAGCAGAATGATCATGTTAAGAAAATGGGATTTATGATTACCATAGATTACGAACTATGGATTTATTGTAACATCATTACTGCAGCATTGGTTATAAAATAAATATTTATTTATTTTTCTAAATTATCATTATAGGACAGAGAATTTGTAGCATTTGCATATTTATTTTGAACAATCCCAAAATTAGCCGAGTAGGAAATAAAACGTTTCATGTTGAAAAAAAGTAGTTGTGAAATTTTAATTTTTTTGATTTTAAGCCATTCTGTACTTTAAGATGCAATACTAAATAATTTATCATTTTATAATTTTATTAATTTTATTTTTTATTTCATTTAAATGTTTAATATACAACCAAAATAATGTTGAATTTAAAATGTTGATCATATTAATATGGTTGTTGACTGTTCCCACACTCATGTTTTTTTCTAGAAATACGTCTCGAGGTTTGCCGATTAGATTTATTTTATGGTTATTAACTTTATTTATGGACAGAAATTCTTCACTGCATAAAATATTATCGATATGCGTCACGGGGACGTCGGTCGCAGACATCAAAATTTAAATTTAAAAATCATAAAAATAATCTTATTTTTTTAAGAAGAAATAATCATTTTTAAATGCATATTTTGTACATTTTAGTGCATATTTGGTAATATTTAAGAGCTACAAGTTACAAGCCCTCAGCCCTATATTAATTAATCCTACTAGCTGGTAGCTATTATAGATAGCTATTAAACTATTTTTGATGATAAAAACATGAATAAAAACACATTTTAATAATTACTCATTAGCCAAACAAATTGTATTTACATTTTTCTTGTACGAAAGGTTGTACTGTTGTCAATTGTCAGTTTACTCATAATAGCTGGTATATACTCATGAACTTGTGACCTTACAGTTGGCACTATTTGATAGTCGCGATAACTTTATAACAGTGGGGGGAGGTTTACGTTTTTATGTTAGTGTTTTATTTTGCTAACAAATCTTTTGTTTATTTATAATTTTTAATTTTCTTTTCTTTTTTTTCTTTCTTTCTGTATGATGTAATTTTATTTGATGTAAGATACTTAATTATTGAGCTAAAATTTTTTATGAAGGCTAATAAAAAAAAAAAATCAAAATCTTTGTATATCGCAAAAATATATTTATTTATGGGTCACCAATATTTTGATTTATTTTTTTTTATTAGCCTTTATAAAAAATTTTAGCTCAATAATTAAATACCTTACATCAAATAAAATTACATCATACAGAAAGAAAGAAAAAAAAAGAAAACGAAATTAAAAATTATAAATAAACAAATAAATAAATAAATATAAATATAAATGTATATATTATAAAATAAAAGTCAAATGACAAAGCCAGCCTCCTAGATCAAAGAAACAATTATAGTGACAACATGTTCTGATTTTGAATTTAAAATAGAGGGGAGATTGAATGGGACGTTTAAGGAATTGAGAGAAGAAATTAAATGAGAACGTTTTATAGAGAGTAAGGGGCAATCGAAAAGGATCGAAATAAATCGCAGAGACATTCGTCCAAGTGAAGAGTACAAAAGGGGGAATCATTTAAGTTTAATTTATAGGCATGGGAGGGTAAAATATAATGTCCAATACGTAAACGATTGAATTGTATGATGTATGATCTGGATAGAGATGCATTTTTGAACCAGATATCAGTTCCAATATTAGGAACAATAGATTTAAGTTTTGGGGCAAAGTTAGCAGGTAGGTTATTCCAATAGATGGACCAAAGAGTGGAAACATGACGTCGTAGGGGAGGAGTAAAATCTGACCAAGGAATTAAGGAAAAAGAAGGACTAATAAAGTCTGAGGAGGATTTAGCTAAGGAGTCAGCAGTCTTATGGCCGCGAATTCCTACATGACTAGGAATCCAAAGAAATTGAATGTTAGAGCTTGATTGACCAAGACCAAAAATAATAGATTTAATACAGAGAATTAAAGGAGATAAGTTGGAATTAAAAGTATAGGAATTAAGAGATTGGAGACAAGACATTGAATTAGAAACTTTTTATACGGAAAGGTAGAAATAAAATTTAGCGCTTCCACAACGGCGAAGCATTAAGCTGTGAGAGAAGATGAGGAAGGGGGTAAATTACTTGTACATGAAATGTATAGCTCAGGAATGTAGAAAGAGAAACCTGCCGATAAAGGGGAAACGGAACCATCAGTGTAAATAACAATGAAATCTGGAAAATTGCATTCAATGAAATCAGAAAAAATATTGTTAATAACTACGGAAGAAGAATTCCTTAAATCAAAAGAGGAAAAACCTGGGAAAAAGTCAGCTATATAAACATGCGTAGAGTAAAGACTCATATCTATTCCCATACATAGGAAGTTTAGAATTAATTAGAACAATATATTGATGGAATGGTGAAATAGAATTAGCAGTCAATGCGAGAATAGGGAGATACTTAGAAACATAATGCCAAGTAAGGAACAAAGGGTAAAAGGAATCGAAAATAGGACAATTAGAGAGATAGGGATTTGAGAAGAAACTTGCCTGCAAGCCAGTGATATATTTTAATATTGAGAGGAGGGCACAAGATTCTGCTTCTATAGCTGGGAGGCGAGAAGATCAAAATAGCCCATGATGCAACTTAAGCAAGAGCTTTGAATTGTAATAAGTCTTTTCCAATTTTCGATGCTGAACCAAAGAGGGAAAAGCTGTAGTCGAATTTGGAACGTATAATATATAAAATAACAGAAGATCCGTAGGATGAGAGCCCCACCAATTACCAGTAATAGCCCTAAGAAAATTAGCCCAACGAGAGTCAAAAGAGATGAGTGATATGTGAGATGGCCAGCGTATTTTGGGATAAAGAGTAATACCCAAATAGGTAGTATTATCTACAAAAGGAATAACATTGTTATCAAAATACACATTCGGGGGATTAAAATATCTACGTCCAGTAAAAATAACAGATTTACATTTATCATAGGCGACAGAAAAGAATAGGTCGGTACAAATATTATTGAGTTCAAAGAGAGGGAGATTAAGGGATTCAAGAGCAAGCTCGAGAACTTCATTAGAAGAGGAGACAACAATATCATCCACATAAATAAGGCAATTATAGCCTACACTGGAAAGGTGATTTGCAATTATTGTGATCATATAAATATTGAAGAGTATCAGACTAAGGCCTACCTAAGGCTACCTTGCGGGAGACCGGAAAAAGTAGTACGTGTTTATTGTGACCCGAAAGGGGAATTAAAAAATACTCATATTAGAGAACAAGAAGAGAATAATATTACAGCAGGTGGGAGGTAAACCAATGGAGGAAAGTATGGAAACTAAAGTAGGAATATTAACAGAATCAAAGGCACCACGAATATCTACATAAGTGGCAACAAAATATTCTTTAACATTAAAGGAGTGATAGATATTGCCAATAAATGTGGAAATGCATTCCATGGTGCTCATGCCTTTCCTAAAAGCAAATAGATTGGGTGGTAAAATGGAATAATATTCCAACTACCAATCAAGCCGAGTTATATATATATTCTCAAGATTTACAAAGTGCAGAGGAAAGAGCAATAGGACGAAAAGCCGTATTAGAATTTGGTTGAGAATAGGAATAACTTTATAAGAAGTCCAAGATAATGGAATTCCGTTGATAGACAAGATGTAATCTAGCACATTAAGTAGGAAATCAAGAGCACAGGAAGGTAGACGTTTCAACATTAACGGTGAAATATTATCAAGCCCAGAAGCTATTGAATGTCTTGAAGAAATAGCATAGTTTAATTTAGATATTGTGAAAGGATTAGTAAGAACATGGGAAAGAGGCGTTTGTGGATAAAAGGAAGAATAGACTCAGATGATGTAGGGACGTAACAAGTAGCAACCTTGGAGCAAAAATCATGGAACCAGCCGTCGTTGGTAGGCCAGCGAGATGGGGAGACACACTTTTTAGAAAGGTTTAGCTATAAACCATAGAACATGCGTAGAAGTTAAAGGGTTGTAGCTAGAACAACATTTTTCCAAGCTATTCTTTAACATTTTTTAAGGTAAGGGTAGTAGCTGCAAAACAATTTTGATAATTAAGAAAATCAATCATCGAAACAGAACGACGAAAAATGTTAAATAGTTGGGACCTGATCTTGATTGCCTCGGAACATGCATTGTTCCACCAAGGAGGGGAGGAAGAAAAAGATTTAGGATTCGATTTTTTAACTGGTATGAATTGTTTAGCAGCACTGTTAACGATCTCCGAGAAGGTAGAAAATGAGTCATATAAAGGGAGATTAGTAGGTATGGATGAAATCGAATCTTGAATAATATGAGAATAGGAAGTCCAATCAGCCTTTTAAGATTAAAGGTACAACGTGACTCATCAATAGGATTTTGAAAAGAGGCAGTCGATTTGGTACTACGGAAATGGTTACAGGCAGTTACGGACACCAATATGGGGAAGTGATCACTGCCATGAGGATCATCGAGGACGAACCAAGATTAAGACCAAATGAGATCGGGAGAGTAAAAAGAGAGATCAATGCCAGAATCCGGAGAACCAAGCCGCCCAACATGAGTAGGACAACCATTGTTAAGAATACAGAGACCTAGGGAACTAATTGAGTCATAAATGAGGTTGCTGTAATGTGATGACAAAAGCAAGACCCAAGCGGGATGGAAAACATTAAAGTCATCACCCAGAAAGGAATTACGTTGGACGAGATTAAAAAGCGAATCCCAGACCGCAGCAGAATCGCTTGGAATATAGCAAGACCATATAGTTAAGAATGAGGACGAGTTCGGGACGAACACTTCAGCACCGACGATATCTGTTTTAAAATTTAGAAAACTCTTACAGATGGCCTCAACAATAGTGACTGGCCTTGACCTAAGAGAGTTGTGAATTAAAACTGCGGCACCGCCATAACCATCTTGGCGATCTGATCTGTAACTGGCATAATTAGGAATATTAATTGAGCGAGCAGGTAATAGCCAGATTTCCGAAAGGAGGGCCATAACATTTATTGCTGAAAAGTACATAATGTAGAGTGGGAAGGCGGGCAGTTAAGCTTCTAACATTCCATTGAAGGATATTAATAGGATTGATCAAATTGATAGGACTTTTGGGAGTTAGCCATTGGGAGAGAACTAACTATCTTTCGTGTGAGGAACGATAAGGAAGATTCAATAAAGGATTGGAGAGCGAAAGGGGAAAAAGGCGAAGACAACGTGGGAGAGTTGATAAGAGCATCTGCTAAAATATTGTATAGGGAATGAACCCAAGAGAAATCAGTAACATTGTTACCGGGGGTCTGAGCCTGCAATGAGGAATGATTTAAATAGCTTCCGTTAGGGGGAAATAGCACGACCTAGAAAGAGGAGGGAAATTGCTTTTGATGAGGGGTAATGGACGAGATTTGGCTTTAAACTTTTTGGAGTTAAAAAAGTGATGACTGTCGTTGAGATTAGGATAATCCTCTACGTAACGAGTGGGTTTAGGCACCGTTGAATTAAAGACAGGAGGCTGTCTAATTGATACATCTGAATACTTAAAAGCTGAAAAAGAATATTAATTTTTTTTTTTAAGGACTGCATCCTGATAAGAGATGTTTTCGATGGCCATAATCTTCTTAATTTCCTTCTGAACAGACCACTAGTGATAGCTGCGATCAGTGGCCAAGTGGGAAAGATGACAAAATAGACAAGATGGATCGGTGGCAGAAATGGTGGGGCAATCGACTAGGGAGTGTTTGACGCCTCCACACCTGCACCTGGGATCACTGCGACAGCATTTTTGGGTATGGCCAAAACGGAGATAATGGTTGCACTGAACTGGAGAACGAACACTTGGAGAGACTTCAAAAATCATATTGAATACAGTAATGTGTTAAGGTAGTCTAGGAGAAATAAATTTGAATTCAACCAGGCAAGTGGGAGTAATAATGCCATCCTTCTTGACTACAATACGTCTGAAGATTTCAATTTGAAAGAGCGAAGATAGGCCTTCATGGAAATCGGCTTCGGAGAAGTCAGTATCCAGTTTAAATTACACCAAAAGAATAAATGAGATTCGACGAGATACTGGCACTGAAACAATGACCCGCTAAGAAGGCGGAATGCAAACATAAATTACCATTTTCAATGGAGTCGAAAGTAATCTTGACTTTTTGAAACCAGCTGGTTTAATATTGGTGATGCCTGAAAAAAATTTGGCTGCCCATACTAGGTGCCATTTAACCAGATTTTTTTCCGCATCAATACTCTCGACAAGAATAAGGATAGGACCAATATAGTCGGACGAAAAAGATTGTGTATTACATTGTAATGGGTTTTTAATGACATTAGGGCCATTGGGAATAGACTGTCGACATAGAAACCGAGAGATTAGAATTAATTGACCCAATAGTGTTATCACCGATAACTTATCGGTGACCGTAGAATCGTCAACAACCATATCTGACGGTGTAGTAATTATGGGAAAAGGTTTATATCGTAATCACGATTTAAGATATACCATACAGGTTGCCCATCGCCATATAAGGCGAATACCAAATTGAGTTCTTCATGGTGCTGGAAATTACAGCAAGCGCTCTGTGTGAGTGAAAAGTAAATGACAGGTGGCGCTGCGTGCTGCCTGCTGAATTTTAAATGTTGTAATTCTTTTTGCAAATTTAATTTAACAATTTTATATTATTACAATCATGGGCGTGGAACAAGTAACAACTTATGGGTATTTTCCTGGTTCGATGAAAATTGATTGAACTAGTAAACACGTATGGTCGTACGGATAGAATCATTAAAGTATAGAGTGAGTGTTAAAACTGCAGGTTTTCAGGTCAATACCTCGAAAATTTAGACCCCGAAAAAAAATGCTCATGAAAAAATTTAATTTTATAAAAATTAATAAAAATGATTATTTGTAAATGTGTAGGTTTTAGGTTGCTTATGGGCTATTTTAGGTTAATTTCGCTGCTGTGTAAGTATAGTGATTTCATACTTCTCAAAATACCGCTGTGTACTGAATACTGGTAAGAGGTTGTACCCTGATACTACCCTACATTAAAGAAGAAACATTTTTTGGTTAAAGAAATACTACTATTATACCAACATATATTATTTAAGTAAAAGTAATTTAGTTTTGAAAATAGATCAAAAACTATGTTTTGTACTATATTTGTCTCTAAACTCAGAACCAATATACCTACAATCAAGAATTTAAAGACTTAATCTATTATTATAAAAATGATATCATTTGAATAATTTGATTAATTTATTAACATATTATATAGTAAAAAAACTACTCACCGTAATTTGTTGTTCACATTTTTTAGGATATTTTTCAAGTCTACTTTGCGCAGTAGATATTTTAATAGGCTGTAAATTATGATAAAGATAATGTAGCTATATTATAATTTATTATACTATACAAATATCAATAATTTAAATTTTGATTACCAACTTATATCATACCAAAAGTTTTAGCATATTTATGAAAATAAATTAATCTATAGGATCAAAAAAAACCAGTGATGAGATGTAGGTTGATAAAGTATTAAAAGTTTAAATTTAATTGATATTATAAGATGTTCATTATTTAATCACAAAAAGTAACCATAGTTTGAACCGATAGTTCTTACGTTATAAGGATAATCTTTTTTAGCATTGAATTATGGAATGAATAGGAATTCTAAGAACCAGTCCTTCAATTAACAGATAGTATGTGATTGTGATAAACATGAAATTTAGTTCATTAGGTATATAGATATTTATAAGATGTAAAAATATTTATCAACATTCTTACTGTAATTTAAATAAATATAATTGTGAATGCCAATTTATAAGAGAAAAAAATAATTCTGATCATGATGGCTGCTAGTGTTAATTTAATAGTTTAATGTGGCATTGAATAGAATGAAGTGTTATTTTTAAATTTAATAAAAGTAGTCAAATTAGTAAATTATTAATATGCATAAATATAAATAATAGTATAAATTTACCATGTTTTGTATTGATGGCAACTTCTGAATAGGTTTATGTTGGTGTGATGATTTCTTAAATTCACCATTATTCTCCTGGATAAAAAAAAAATAGTATGAAAACAACATTTTTTTAATAGAAGCTTGACAATATATTTAAGTAATCTAATTACCTGCATGTTCATGTGATTTTTTGTAGTAATTGTATCTTTGTTATTTATATTGTCTGTATCTCCAATTCGAAATTTGTCCAGCTGAAACAAACGAAAATTATAGTAAGTAAAAATCAAAATGTACCTTAACAGTCTTATATAACCAATTTTTTCTTTGATATTATTTTATTAATTACATCAACATACTAAATGTCTTCATAATGTTATAACTAAATTATTACAATAACCATTACAAAGGTAGTGTCAAAATACACTTATGTATTATCAACCAATATTTATTATTATTAAACTATTAATGGCTATTAGGTCACTATGATAAATTATCATTATTATATAATAATAACAGACACATAAATAATAGTTTAAACATAATAAACAAAAACCAAAAAATAATAAATTTATATTTTGCTACATAAAAAGAAAAATTAAAACTCTATTAAATGATGTGATGAACATTTTATCAAAAAGTTTATATTATAATAACTATCAAATATTGACATATTTTCTATATTTTATATTAAACTATTATTAACGAATATAACCATCCTTAAAACATAGTTTATAACTCAAAAACTACAAGTTTGAATTTTGAAAACCAAACATTTTTAGATTATTATCTACTCAATGATTTAAAAATAAAAAGTAGTAGTTTCCATTAAGGTTCTAGAATTTGGTATATATACTCTTGAAATAGTATAAACAAATCTTAAAATATGCTTCCTAAGTCTAATATTCCAAAAATCAGAATTTGAATGAATTGAAGATAAAAATTATGGGGAATATACTTGACAAATTATTCTGCAAAATATATTATCAAATATGTTCACTTATTACTATTTTAATGTAGTAGAACTTCTTTATAATGACACTGGCCTTAGTGTTAAATCACATTTAATGACCATATTTGAACATCTCAAAAAAATCTCCTATTTTATTATTTGTTATAAGATCAGAATTTAAAATTTAGTAACTTTTAGTTCAAAATATTTTATCTGTAGTCATAAAAATTCAAAGCTACAATATTATTAACACGGATTCTATAGACAAAAAAATTAGAATGAGTATAACAATGTCCAATAATTACATATTGCTTAGATTTCTAATGTTTGTTTATCAATAATCTTAAATAGTGCCATTTAGATAAAATAATTATTTGATAAACAAATTTCTTAATTGATGGTGTATTATCAAAACAATATTTACTAATTCATCCTCTTTATATGTTTATAATACGGCATATAGATAAAAGATAACAAATTAGAAACATTGTAAAGCAATAACACATTTATTTGTTTGGTATTCAAAAAGTAATTAAATAAAAACTTAATTTAAAATGGAAATTTAATAAATATAACAAAAACTAACAAAGTAAAAAATTTAAAACTTACTGATGTATGCTTAGGTTTATAACTAGCAGAACTAGAACTATATGTTGATTCTAAGCTACTGCAACTGCTAGTAAGTGGAATTTGTTCTAATTTATTATAAGATTTGGTGTTTTCATTCAATGAATTTGTTTCCTAATTAAAAAATCATTGAACAATGAATTAATTATTGTAGTATATGTATGTTGAAAAATGCAAAAATATTATTCACAAAAATTTTCACTCTGTACTTTAATATATTTCATGTTCACTTACATTTGGAATTAGAACTGATTTTGATTTTACCTCATCTTTTCTATTATCGTTGGATAGATTATTTAAAGTCTATAATAACAGAAAAATACTAAAAATTAAAATTTACCTATAAATATAACTTTATATAAAAGGAACAACAAGAGTTCACCATCAAACATATAATAACTGAATGTTTAATGTACACAGACTCAAGAAAACACTACATACCATACCAGTTAAGTGAAGCCTTACAACCAAATCTCCTATCAAACAACATTATCATCAATTTCCTAAAGGAAATTAATTTTTATAACGTAATTTAAGCCTTAATTAAATGTAAGCCTATTACAAAACAATTGTATACTAAGAAGTAATAACTAATGGCCTAAAATCCGATGTGTATACGCTCAATAAAAATAAACAGCAACATTTTTTTAATTTTTCAATTAACTTGGAATTTCTTCAAATATTTAATTAATTGAATTTGTATTGAGAACAATTTAAATATTTTAAATTTAAGTTATTAGAAATTTTTAAGTTAAAAATGTTAATAGTATTGATGATTTTAAATGTTTAAGCACTTATTTAATTTTAAAAATATGATAACCAGTGGTCGAAGTGGCTCAAAATAAGTGGAGGGATGCCATCCCCCAACATTTTGACAAATGATAATAACAGATAAAACAGAAGAGCTATCATATTCCACTATTACATATTATAATTGTATTAAATTTACTGATGATGTACTGTCAATCAATTCAAACAAGATAATGACTAAACAACTAAAAACAATCTTGACTTACTTAAATCAAGTCTGGGATACTGAAAAATGTTACAATCTAATTATAATATAGTATAATACTTAAGTGCATTGATGAAAACAAAAAAATCATTTTACACACAGATAGAAAAAGGAACAAAAAATGATTGTACATAATGTTAGATGAACGCCATAATTCCACTCAAAAAATTAATGAAAAAATGTGAATAACTTTATTTAAAAAAAACTTGTTAGGTAAGAAAATGATGCATTGACTCTGTTTACATATTTAACTGAATGTAATAAAAAATATTTATAAAATAGCAAAATGAAAAAAGTGAGCAACTGGATGATATAAGTGGTTCACTCAATGTAATGGTTAGTTTAGAATTTGAATTCAATGACATAAAATAATATACAAAAAACGATTATCAGCCTATATTACTTGGTATATTCCATGATATTATTGTGACTTATTTTACTAATGGGCATTAGTGCAATTACAGGTTACATTATTTTTTGCCGAAAAAATTGCATTTTAAAATGCCATTGTGTGTATAAAATAGAATAAAATAACTACTCCCTACCCTATCTAGAAGTATCTAGTACTCACAAATGATAATTTTAAATTATAACAAAATAACTAGAACCATCATTTGGTTTAAATATGTACAATTTGAACTTTAAATGCTTATAAAACAAAATTTTACCAATGTAATGAACCTTACATTTTAAATATTTTGACACAACAAATACAATTTTATTGACATTTATAAAAAAAAAAACTAAAAATGTCCGTAAATAGCTCAAAACAAGTCAAAATATTTTGAAAATTGTATCAAGTACATAAATTGATAAAATAAACATATGGTGTAAATTAAAATTAAAATAAGTTTTAGGCTAAGACAAAGCTAGTCATATAATCTCATTCTGCATATAAATGCATATTTTGAAGTTTTTTTGCTTTTAGCACATATTTCTTTCATTTTATACTTTTTGGTACATATTTTAATCATTTAGGCAATAAGTTGGTATATAAGTTGGTATAATCAAACCATAAAATCTACAGTAATTCCTTTAAGAATTACACCAAAAATGAAAATTGATTTTGACAAAAATCAGCTTTGTGTAAAAATTCACGATTTTCAATTTTTTTTGGTTTTTAACGGTGCTTTTGAAAACTGCTGGGTTCTGACTTCCCCAATGCACCAACTAAATTCAATTTTCCATCGAACATGGTACTCAAGTTGTAAATCAAAGCATTATTTCGACATATTATGTTGTACACATACACAAAAAAATAAATAAATAAAAAGGCATTAATCATTGTAAAATAAATACATTCATCTCTCCGCTCAGAATCTAAAAACACCCATCATTGTACAATCAATCAATTTATCGCTTCGCTAAGAATATAAAATGAAATGCAATCGTGCTACATTACAGGTGATAATATATTCAAAGAGTGAGAAATGAATCTGTTTCCTTCCAGTAAAAAACATAAGTAATAACTAAAATAAAAAATGCATATAGATAATTGCATTAAAAAATGATTTAAAGGTTTGGTTAAAGTTAAATTAACAGTAGTTTTTTTTATTTCATTAAAAAGTTTTACCAGTCTTAGAAAAGCTACTAAAAAAAATAATAGAACTACCGCTACAAAATACCAACAAAACTTAAATCCTAAAAAGATCTATGATAAAAAAAATACATAATTTGTATATTTTTTTTATTAGTTGCAGAAGTGATATTTGTCACAGCTTAGTTATTATAATTAAGATTGTGTCTTACTTTAGTTTCAGGTAAACATACATCAGATTTTAATTGAACGTTTCCATTATAGTTCCTGGTATTATTACTATAGTTATCCATGGGATAATGAGGCTAAAATAGACAAATAACATTATTAAGTGACTGTATGAAAAAAATATTTTATTACCTAGAAAAATAATTGATTCCATTTACCTTTTTGTAATTATTCTGATCAAATGTTTTTGGCTCATAGTTCTAAAAAAAAAAGTATCACTGTGTAAACAATAATCAAGTTACATCTCATATTTATCTTAAGAAATAACATGAGCATAAAATATGAAATAAATTTAATAAAAATAAATTAACACCAATAAAATTTACATTAAAAAAAATATTTTAACTCACTAAAATATAAAAAATAGTAACTATACACTTTAGAGTATATTTTTTAAATATTAGACATTATCTTACGTTTACAATTATATTATAAAATCTAATATAAACACAATCCTATAAATAACTCTCTATATATAACATTCTATAAACTTCAGCATTACAATGGAGTATGTAATTAAAATATTACATACTCTAGTAGCAAAGTTGAACATCCAAGATAATATGATAGAAAAACTTTGAATTGAAGGTCTTATTGCTATTAAATAATATATTAAATGTATACATACATTGAATCTAATAGGTCTGTTATCACTATATGATGACTGTGTTTTATTTTGACTGTTATTGGTGTAATTAGGAACAGAAGTACCTTGATAGTTGTTTCTTGGCTAAAAATAAAAAAAAACATTTTGAATATAGTTAATATTTTATAAATTTAAGACTTACAGGTCCATAATTTGAGCCATTATTTCCTTGTCTAGAATAATTATTAGGTCTGGCATACCCGTTATACGTGTTTGAAGAAACAATTTTTCTAGGAGCATTTTTAAAACCTGTAAACTAAAAAATTAATAAATTTTACTTAAAGAACTCATATTTCAAATTGTGAATTCATGAACCCCCACATGAACATGGTTCAGTGGGGCCCATTAATACCTTCTTGGAGAATAATTTAAAATAAAATACTTTAGTTTTTGATAGCAGAATAATTTATACTAATTCAATAAGTAATAATGTTTTGTTAAATAATAATTGAAACATTAAGGTTTTTTTTTGTGTTAGTGAAAGCCTAGATTACAGAGTCAATATCAGAGGGAGTTTTCAAACAGATGTTGTTTTCAATTGATTGAGAGAATTGTTTCCAAATGGTTTTACAAGGATTAGAAATAAGGTATTTTTTCAAAAAGATTGATCAGTGAAAAAAGATAGGTGTGATATGATTAGAGGAAAGGTAGAATAAATTTACCTTATCATAGTTGACATGGTTAGATAGAGTATGTATGTAGAAATCAAAAATATCCCTTTACGAAATGAAAACAATGAACTTAATCATATAATAATATTGTATTATTGTAATAAAAAGTAAACCGTTGAAAATTAGTTACTGTATCTGATATGTCAGAAATCATGAATCCCCTTGGAATCCCTCCTCTTTTCCTGGATATTTTAAAATACATTATGTAACAAATTAGATTCCTGCATATACTTTTAATTATTTAAAATGATTTTCCTCATCTAGTACCTTTTTTACCATTTAACCTTTAGATGTAAAATGTAAAATAAAAAAATTCACACTTACATGTTAAACATACCATATTAAACTTATTGTTAGATCTTAAATAAATTTATTTATTTGAATAAGCACTTACTGGTTTCTTTTTTGGTGGTTTTGATTTCTGTTTTTTGATAAGCTCCGTCAAATGTTGTGTTTTACTAGTAGCTAACGCTTGCACAATTGCACCTCCACCATTGTTTTTAATTATAAACTTTCCAGAGGATTGCAATAGGGTTTCTAATGATGAAAATCCCAATTGCCTGAATGGAATTCGTTCGCCAGTTACTTTAAAATATTCATCTGCACAGTAAACAAGATCATTTTAGTTTTTTTAGATTCTGAGCGGAGTGATGAATGTATTGATTTTACAATGATATGTTATTTTTGTTTTTTTTGTGTGATGTCAGTAATCACCTTTCGGGTCAGTAAAAGTGCTTGGATTTTCTTCTACATTATCTTTTCAGATAAGAAAGTAAATCTAGTTGGAACTTTAGGGAGAGAAAATTGAAAAATTTTCAAAAACGGCAAATAGGAACAAACCAAAACATTAAAAGAAAAATGGAAATTTTCACAGAAAAATGATTTTCCAAAAATTCAAATTTGGTTTTTGATGCAACTCTAAAAAAAAATACAGTGAATACATGAAATTTTAACTAAATGTTTACATCTGCATTTTTTATAAAACACAACATTTTCAAAATATTTTGACTCATGTTGAATTATTTATAGGCACATTAAATTTTTCAATTATTATTTATTTATTTTTAACTAATGTCGATAAAAATTTGAGAGGGCAAAAAACTTGAAAACAAGGTTCATCATAAGTTATTTGTGAGTAGAAATTAAAAAAAAATTAAAGTGTAAATCCACAATATTTGTTTATGAGCGTTTGAATTTAGAATTATAATAAAATTACAAATTATTTTGAGTTAGAATTGGAAAAACTTTTTCCTTTTTATTACTAAGATTTTAAAAATTAGTACAAGATTCCTTATGAGTTTGCCTACATTTATTAGAAAAAAAATTTATACTGGAAAGTCAAAATAAATTTTTGTGAATTAAAATTTGTACAACGTTGGATATTCACTTGATTTCTCATTTCTCATGTAGTGATTTTCTTATTTTCAAAAACTGTACACTTGAAATTTATACCATATGTTTATTTCATCAATTCATATACTTGATTACATTTTCAAAATATTTTGACTTATTTTATTCAATTTTTAAAAAAAAAATTTGTATTTCAAGCACACAACATGGCAAATTTTGTTTTTAGCCTAACCAATTTTATGTTATTATACTTTTAGAAGATTTAAGAGGATGTATCCAGGGTAGATGTATCCGCTAAACTACTAACTGTAGTTATGTGGAGAATCTGTCACATGCCCACACTCCTTTCTGACCTTATAACTGTAAAAATTAATTATATAAACATTTTTCCAAAAACTTACTTTCTATTTGACTTAATTGTATTCCACCTTTGGTAGATATTAGACAAGCCTTTAAGTTGAGTATTACTGAATCCAAGTCATCCATTTTTCTGATTTGTTCTGAGAATAAAAAATATTTTATAGCATACACAATACACATGTGGCGATGAATTACAGTAAAACTCATTACTGGTTCTAAAGACAAAATAGTTCATATTATCTAAGTCATAGAAACCAAAATTTAAGAAGTTATTACAAAACAATATACATTATATTATTATAATTAAATCATAAGTCATAACTGGTCATTACACATTAAAAACATACCGTTAATTTTTTTCTACAATTTTTTTATAAAAATAGTATGGTATTTTTGTTTCTACTCCATAAAAATTTTATTTTGATTTTGTGTTATAAATAGCAACATACTCTTTGACACAGATTGTCTACAATTTTTCCTTATCTTGAAATGTATTATTGTTAAAAGGTCAGTAACATGGACCATGTATACAGTGGTTATTTTATAGGTAGGCAATTTATCTAAATTCATCAAAAATAAGTCATTATATCTGTATAGTCATAATAAGAACATCATGACAACTAATACAAATTAGCATGTACAATATATGAGTTTTGATGGGACCCGAGACGATACCTTTAAGACGGTACGTCATTAAAACCAATTTTATTAATTAAATTATTAATCATCATTGAATTATTTATACTACATGCCTATACTATATACATACAATACAAAATCATGATTATAGTAAATAATTACAGTATTATTATGTTAAAAATTTCAAGTATTTTATGATATACTATGTTTTTTTAATTAAAAAACATGGTATATATACGTTATCAAATATCAATCGCAAACATATTCAAATTTATTTTGTAGGAATGCATGTCCGATTGTAAGTTGTAGGTGTGATGACTATCCAAACCAGGTTCTTAAATAACTTTTGAAATGGATACGGAAACTAAGTAAAAACCACAAAAATCTATGTAGATAAATGAAAATAATAACTTACCAACAGGAGAAACACGACTTAAATATTTGTCGTTCGTACGCCGTCCGCACGACTACTTACGAAGTCACGTCACACACAATCACACTTTGGTTTAGTTGAATGAGTTGAGTATAGTCAGTGGTAGCAAAGTAGGTAAATGCAAACACTCTGTCACTCTGTAGTCTATATCACGCATTCGCACACGAGCACAATGACAAAGTTTAATTGGACTTAACTATTTTTAATTGGATTTCAGCGAATTGCAAGATGTATGGACCGGCGGAGTGCGAAACGAAAACTGCTAATGGGAAATCGCGGGAGAAAAAAAATGAATAGAAATTAGGTAGTAGTAGGTACTTACATCGAACGATTTTTAGTATTTTCTGCTATTGAGTATAGACATCGAACATGTGTTATTATTATAAATATTTTTGTTAGTATTAAGTTGTAGTATAATAGTATAATAGTAGTAGTAGTAGTCGGTGGTCTTACTGGATTACTGCTTTAATTGAACCATCCAAAGATACAACAAGTAAAGTATTACAGACTACAGTAAAGTTATCACCGGGAATGCCGGGAAACTCGCTGTGAAAGTACGCGCCCCAATAATATTACGACAATATAAAGTATTATATTAATATGTTGTATATTGTTATTATTATTATTATTTATTAGACAGTATTAAGAATACGTGCACATACCGGAACTGGAAACTGCACTACCGCACTACTGCAGCCTGCAACACTGCATTCGGAATACTGTCGTAGCTCGTAGTGCATTCACTGAATACTGAAAAAGTGAAAACTGATATCACTAATGAACCGTACGTTACCGCTCCCTGGTGCACGATCGTGTGGCTTTGGAGTAAATTACTTAATCTTTTTTCTATAATTAAGTATTTCTCAAAAATTGTATAACTGTAAACGTGTAGTACATAACTTAAAATATCACGATTTAGTGTAGACAGTGTAGTTATTATAGACTAATTGCATACGTGTTGGCAAGACATTCCACCCCCAGATACCAGTCATAAAAGCATTAACGAGTTCCGTTCAGTATACTTAATACTTATCTATGGTTCCGTTAACCGACAAACATTATCCATGACCTAAGATTGCACTCGTTTACGTTGATTCGAGCCCGATCATAATACAGACAACATGTATGGTCATAAAAGTTCAATTTTGGTACGTGTCTGCGCAATACGTCACACGTCTACCCATATTATCGGCACGAAATTTGATTGAGGTAATTGGGTGTTATTTAAATTGCATATTTATATTATTAAAAAATTGTAATTATCAGTAACATTATTATTTATATCGACTTAATATACTTATGCAGTTATGCCTACAAACTATAGAAAGACTTGACCGTCAAAAAAGTTAAGAACTTAAGAATAATGTTAACAAGATATGTTATTTATATCATGGGCACGGGTTATTACCGTGGGTTATCAAGACGTGTGCGCTGCTATATTTTATTATTATTATTATTATTATTATTATTATTAACATTATTACTATCATAATAATTTATACTGATTGTATACCAATTACCAAATATAGGAATGTTGCTCAGTCGCTGGCATATTCGGACCGAATTAAATTGACCATTGTTGCAGATAATCCAAAATACAAGACAATTCATTGTGTGCTACATTACTACAATGCTACAACTACATTGTCTATACATGGCTAAATAGTAAATTGGAAAAAAAAATCTGAGTGTTTTATGATACAAAGCAGACAGTCCTATGTAACTCGATAAAATTATCATTATGTAATCATATTGATCTGGATCTTATTGACAAGACTGGGAACTCTTATATTCTAGTACTGCTATCTATCAGTGACGTGATCTATAAGTTTAATATCGATGATATTATCTCAATAAATTATAAAATTCTTGGGTGATTTTAATTATTTTTTATTCTTTTGGATCTGTTGAACTAAAGTAGTAGTAAAACTTTAACACCCAACAAATTTTTGAGTTTTTAAAAAAATTAAAAATTAAACATAATTTAACATAATGACAATTGTGAAATCTCATGAATAATAACCCAATATTATAAATTTTAGTTTTAAAAACTTACTAGTTACTATTAAACGTTCTATTTGTTCCGAACCGTCTTTTACATTTTTTCTTTAAAAAAAAAAAATTAGGGAAAACGTGTTCGACAAATCGATCATCAACCAATAATGGAATCGAACTACAAATTTACAATTAACTCTCCGCTTTTGAGTACCAGCCAATTATAAAACTGGGTACTCCTTCTGTACCTTCTGTACCTAAACTACTTATTGTACACTATTTGGATTGGTGACTATTACTATAGGTAAAAAAAATCAAAGAAATATAATCTACAAAAAGCGTATTCAATTAATAACTTTCGTAGCTCAAGTTATATTGCTTAACAATATAGATTAGGTATACTCTATTTTTATAACTTTTGGCACAATTTGTCTGAATGTTTTGGATTTAGGAGGAAAGATGAATGTATTGGTTTTACAAGGTTTCTCTTTCTGTGTTAAGTGTTTGTTTACACGTTTTATAGAAGAAATCATGCTTCAATATTTATTATTAATGCTGGTTCCTGAATCCTGGTGGAAAATTGGATCTAGTTTGTAGATTCGGAAAATTAAAATTAAAATCACAAAATAAACATATAATTTTACTCAAAACAAGATTTTCAACTAAATCAATAAGGTTTTTTATCGTAATTAAATGTTTTCTATGTCTTTAAATAATCTTAAAATTGAATCACCCATTACAAAAACGATAGAGAACAACATTTTTAAGAGTATGATAGGTATATCGATTTTATATTTTATTGTTATTTGAGTTTGTATTCGACTTTTAAAATAAACGTTGTTAAATTTAATGACGTTTAAATTGTTTTATGACAATATTTAGACAAATATAATAATGCAATATACAATGCATAATACACTATGATATAATAAAAATAATACTTAACAATACAATATCTTTAATAAATATAATACACTTTAAAATAAATTGGTTACTATCAGGACACACGGTTTTAAAACAATAAAACGTACTCTTTCTGGACGTTTTCAGAAGCGTATAAAGATTGAGAATTGCGGCGGGATATAGGACTATTTGAAGCAATTGCTTCGTGTCTAATATAGGCGGGTGGTATAATTATTGTAACACCTCAACGCAATAATTGTCATTATAAATATTATAACTAATATAATATATTATCATTATGGTGCAATAAAATGCAATGGTTGGTGGTAAAAATATTAAAAATGTACAATTTGCTTCAAGGACTTAAAAAGTTTGCGTCGCCACTGCAGCAATGCATAATTTTTATGAGATCGTGTAATTGTAGTACTGTATAAGATAAAGTTTCGATCGATTTTTTTCCAATTATTAAATGGCTTATTAACTAAAATTCCCAATTGTTGTTCATCCTCCTTTCCTCCGAACTTCCTGCAAATAAAACACAAAAAGTGCACCTATTGTTGTGCCCTTGTCTTCCTGGGGCCCTCAGGGAAACACACACATAAATTGATTAACACGGAAAATAATTAGTGTATAATATAGAATATTCAATATTATTGAGAGGAAGTAATTTAGAAATTAATATTATTATGTTGTGTTTTAGTTTTATGGAACCGTATATAAACATAAATAAATACATTTCGTGGTGTTTATCAGTGATTGTTTCTTTCTATTCGATTATATTTATAGCCGAAACCCGTAAATAAATGTATAGCCGTAAACACTAAACATTTTTTTTTCGGTGCTAGCAATATTGTTATCGTCCGCTCGCCGGGGTATTTTTTTATCCAGTCAAGACACTTAAGTGTTGTATGTGGCATGTGCCAACAAATAATAATGGGAAAAATATTGCTTATTTTAGTTAAATTTTTAAATTGTGTAATATTAGGCCATTTAAGCAAATGAGCTGAGGCAGCACCTTGTAAAATAATATTTAAGGACGTAAGCAGTAAGCACGACAGTAGAAGGACAGTGCGGGTTTCGATTGAGAGACGGTTATATTTTGTAAGCGATTCATAGAGACTCGTATTTTTGTGTGTTGGTTTATTATTGAATAAAGTGATTAAAAATAGTGTTAATTGTTGATAGATGTTTTTGTGCCATCGAGAGATAGGTATACTACACAAGAGTCAAGAAATCCCAATAATTCTTAAAATAGTGAATAATTATTATCACGTCGCCCGCTCGCCAGTCCGCATGCAAAATCAGTACAATACATCTGGTACACGGCGTTATCTTTATCTTTACATCGAAACATTCGAAACCAATAGTCTACGGTGCATAAAATTATAAATAATTTGCTTTGAAAGCCAGGGGTACGAATGTACGATTATTAGTTAATACGGTTTAAATGTTTAATTTTCATTTACAGTATTTACACTCCGATCGTGTCGGTGTCAACTGATAAATTACGTAAGTACAAATGTACAATAATATAGCTGTTCGTAATATAAATTATACTATATATTTAAGTCTGCATGTTAGTTAAATATATCCAGTTCATCTAAGCGACTAAGCCGACGTGACTATTTAGTTTCAAACAATAACAGAGATTAAAAATGTTTATTTTATTGAAAAAATGTAGGTACTAAATAATGTCAAATGTAAATTATAAATTAACCCGTGGTTAATCAGTGGTTTATGCGTTACAGTTTAAAGTTTATAGTGTTTATACTAACTATATTTCATTATTGCTACTAAAATTATTTAATATTGTGTAAAAAAAAAAAAAAAAAAAAAAAAAAGATCAAATACAGAAGAAAAAAGACTTACTTCACTCGCCGTGTTATTTACTGAGTCAGAAGTAATGCAAGGAGTGGACTACAGTGAAGTGAATAGTGATACGTTCTTTCGCAGAACAAAAAGATCGTCGTGTAAAAATGTGTTAATCATTTTCTTATAAATCTGTTCTTTTATGTTTAATTTATATTCATATATTTATTTTATAATTATGATAATGGTATGCATTTATAATATTTGTTTCATCTATTAGTATGTTGAATATACACAAATTAAAAGCAGTTTTTATTAAAATATATTTAAAAGGGCCCTTTCTTTAGTAGCTGCCTTGAGGCCCTGAGACCCTTAAATTCGGGCCTTCCTTGTAAGCAAGCGAAGAAAATTGTTTAAACCAGTTAAACTGGGAATTTTTAAATTTCATTTCCAACTATAGGAAATTTATAAGTTTCATCTGGTGTCCATTTATTTCCTAATAATGTATACATTATACTTCAACTCGTTACTTACAGTTTGATTCAAATATTGTCCAATAAATATTTACGCTTGAGGTAAATATCGGTATGTCATTGATTTCATTTTCCAATAAATTTAATTTAAGCTTTTTTCTAAAGAAATCCATCATAGACTTTTGGCTTTTTGCCATGTTAAACAAATTAATTCAAAATTAAATAGAAATTAGTACCTAATTACAATTATTTGAATTTATTAACACGTACGTAATTTTAACCGTAAATCGTCGAACGTAGAACTAAATGTTGAAATTGAATACTGCCAGGGAAAAAAGTTTTAACTATTATCATATGGCATTTTATGCTATTAAGATAAGATTATTAAGAATAATATCGTCTTTGTCGATTACACATTCTGGTGCTATAATGTCTAATATGTATAATATTAT